GGGTGCGTTCGCTGTTTGTTGGCGAGTGCTTCCACACGTTGCTGTTCAATGGCGGGCGGCGGCAGCAGTGGCGTTGCAGCAGGCGGTGGCAGTGGCGGATCCGGAAGGAGGAGACCTCCATCAGGATCGACGGACAAAGGAAAGGCCAGTGCCAGTTGTAGTGCTCCCGCATCTGGGGTGACTGCAAAGGATCCCACGCCGGCGTCAGACCCCTCTCTGTCCGTTCCTCAGGATGAGACAAGGCAACAACAACTGCAGCGTACTCGGGAAGTGTGGAAGGACGTTATACAGGGTCAAGAAGCCATGTCGAAGGGTCGAGGAGAGTACTGGCTGAAGTGCCGGCTATGCACGCAAAGTTGGAGGGGCACGAGCACTAGGGCAGTGGAACACTTCATGAAGTTGTTGAAGCCGTGTCCCTTGAGGACAGGTGAGATGGTGCACAACCTCGTTGTCGCCGGTGCCAAGGTGCTGTCGAGCGACAAAAAGACGCAGTACCTCCTCAAGAACTATAGACAGTTGCATGGCATTGCGGAAGGGGGGACAACTACGACGGAGACTCAGGACGCGAACTCCGAGCCGGTCGTTTGCGGGTACGAGGAGCCGCAACCACCAACCACTGCGGGGATGGCACCACCGAAAACAGCTTCCCGAACAGAGCCGGTCGCCGCTGCAGAGGAGGGGCCAGCGGAGGGTTCAGGGTCGAACACGAGGGTGGCATCACTGCAGCAAACATCAACGAAGAGATGGCTGGACAACGATGCACAGAAGAAGCTGGATATTGCGTGGGTGGAGGCGATGTTCCGTGCTGGCATTGCGTTTAACTTCCTGAAATTCGACACGACGCAAAAGCTTCACGAAGTTTACTTGGAAGTGGCGAGTGCTCGACCAAAGGTCAAGCTGCCCTTGTACAACCATATGAGAACGGTGATGCTCGACTTCATATACTTGCGAATTCAAAAGCAAGTGCATCCTCTGACAGCCTGTTGGGATGAATCAGGCTGTACATTCATCATGGACGGGTCATCCGACCGTCGAGAGCGCCCCGTCATGAACTTCTTGGCAGCGGGGGAGAAGGGTGCAGTTCTGGTGGCCACAGTGTCAATGGCGGCAAGGAAGAAAACAGCGCAGGCGTTGGCAAAGTTGTGGGAGCAGATCATGAGGGAGATAGGGGTGCATCGCATCAACGCGATCTGCACTGACAATGCCGAAGTGAACAAGAAGGCTGCTCAGCTTTTGAAGCGCCGCACTGACAAGGACATTGCACGGATTCCATGGGTACCTTGCGCTGCGCATTGTTGCAGCCTTTTGCTGCGAGACATCAGCAAGCTAGACTGGGTGAAGAGCACTGTCAAAAGAGGCCACACGATTGTGAAGTTCATTCGGAACCACCACTCCACGAATAGCCTGATGATGTCCATGGACGATTCCCTGACATTGCTTTGTCCTACGAAAGTTCGGTTCGGGTCCGTTTACATGATGTTGGAGAGACTTCTGAACAGGAAGGCAGTGTTGTCAGATATGGTGGATCGAAAAAATGCAGCGCGGTGGACGGGGATCCGTTGGTCCACTACGAAGTTGAAGTCGAAAGCGGACCTGGTTTACTTCACCATGAGGAGAGATGGATGGTGGACGGAGTTGAAGAAGGTGGTGGATGTCATGGAACCGTTGTACAGCCTTCTCAGGAGGATGGATCGGGATGGAACATCGCCGACAAACCTTGTCGAATACGACGACATGATTGAGAGGAAACTGACTCACGTCGTTCTCACTGAGGAGCAGCGGGCGAGCGTCATGGACAAAGTGAGAGATCGGGTGAAGATGATGTGGCAGCCAGTACATGCACTGGTGTTTCTTCTGGACCCGCGCAGGAGAAATTCACGGTGGTTGTATGATCGGGACAATGCAATTGTGCAGAACGCGATGCATTACCTGCAGAGACAGGTTGGAGGTCCTTGGAAAGGGCCAGACCACCTTGAGGTTTTGGGTGACCTGCACGAGTTTCACAAGGATCCCACGCCAAACGGGCCCAAGAGAAAGGACAAGAAGATGTGGGAGCACGATGCGAAGGTCGATTGTGAGAAGCTCACACCGTCAGAGTGGTGGGCGACTTATGGTGGCGATGTCCCCGACTTGCAGGCCATTGCCATCAAAGTGATGGGCATGTGGAGTACAGCAACCCCGGCTGAGAGGAATTGGTCGTCCATGGACTTCGTGCATTCAAAAAGGAGGAACAGCTTGAAGCCCGAAACATTGGAGAAGCTGGTGTACATCCATTGGAACATGCAACTGTTGCGTGCTGCCAACAACAGCAGTGCCACCGGCGAGGGCTACGTTGATTTGTGGAGTTCGTTCTTCGAGGCTATTCAGGAGCCAAATGAGAACGATGGATCTGTCTTGAGGGGCCCTGAGGACGAAACTGAGAAGACGGATGAGGAGCTGGTGCGGCAGAGTAGCTTCTGAAGACACCGAAGGGAAGGATTCCAAAGAAGCTCGAGGACGAAGAGGATGAGTGCACCGACGACAGTGACTTGGAGGATGAGTTGTGGAAGGGGAAGTCTGGATTGTCGGATGAGGCGAGCGGCGCGGAGGAGGAGGAGGATGAAAGTGATTCCGATTTTGAGCTGGGAGCCCAGCCATCGGTCCTGGGCACTACTTATGTTGGTAGGAGAGAACCTGCAGAGCGTCGAAGGGAGAAGCAACCCTCGGTCTCTACACACGCCCGGGTGGAAAGCTCCTCCCATTACCATCCTCAGTCCGACGTCGAGTTCGATCACATGGACACCGACGTCGAGTTGCTGCTGCAAAGTGGTCCGGTTGATGAAGACGAGGCGGAGGCCGACCGTGCGAAGGCATTGGCAGATCACGATAGAGACACCGTCCAAAACCGGATCATGGAAGAGGATGCCCGACGCAAAGCAGTCCCAACCCGGAGGGAGATGGAGAGACGCAAGAACAAGGTTGGGGAGAAGGAACCGGAGACACGTCGGGCATTGGACGCTGTGCAAGAGGGAGATGAGGAAGTGCAACCGCAAAGTGGACCGGTTTTGAAGGTGGCGGACCAGCAAGAGGCGGAACACCGCAAAGAGGCGGACCAGCAAGAGGCGGAGCACCGCAAAGAGGCGGAGGAGAAGGACCAGCAAGAGGACAACGACGACATGGACCAGCTACAAGAGACGGAGAAGGAGCACGGAAAGGAGGACGAGGAGATGGAGCATGAAGAGGACGAGGAGATGGAGCATGAAGAGGACAAGGAGGGGATGGAAAGTCAAGGAGTGGAGAAGGCCATGGAACAACAAGAAGACGTGGAGGGCATGGATCAACAGGACACGCAGCGCAATGCGGATGACGAGGACGGTGAAGAGGAGCATCAGCCTGCAGTAAAGGCTGTGTACAAGCGTAGGCAACGACCGGTTGTGTCCGAACAGTTTGTCGAGAACGCACCTGACTTCCCTCCGAGCAATGAGGCTGTCCAAC